CCGATCCATTCGTGGCTCAGCCCACTGTGACACAGATCATCGGCTCGTTAGAGTCAATCTCTCCCTTCCCTTGGCCCCCAAACGGCGAAGGCAACACACCTCCATAAAAGGTTTTAACACCAAGCAACTGGTGGATCAAGTTGTACAACATGCTTTCAGAGAGCTGCTTGACTATAGGCTGATAAACAGCCCTACAACAAACAACCTAAATCCCAATGCCTAATCGATCTATTCGTCAATAATAAACGTGCTGCTTTAACTGGTTAGCAGAACAACCCTCAGATTCGCACCAAAGCTTATACCTTCCGCCAGAAGAAAGCGATGGCCCAGCACAAACTTCATGATCTAAAGGATGAATGGTGTTGAATAAAAAGTGTGAAAGATAGAAATTTGCGTTTTAACACAAGATGCGTGAATTTTTCAATTCCACTTTTCTTTTTTAGGGGAATTAGCCCACCCGGGCACAGGTCAAACAACCCACAACGGGGCCTGGGGGGGCGAAAAAAAAGAACAGAAGGAAATTGAAAATAGAGAAGAAAAAGGTTTTACTGTGTTAACGTACAGCACGAAGATGCCAGAAAACCAGCTTCTTAAAATGAGACAGATTGTATAAGTATGGAAACATAGAAGAAGGCAGAGCATTCCACAGTTTGGCTGTGTGAGGAAAGACGGAGGTCCTATAACGGGTTATTCTCTTGTGACCGACATCCACAGAGAAACGGTGGGCAACGCAGGCAGGACGTGTGTTCCGAGCCCACGGCCTTGCTGGCGGTACACAGGATGCCAAATCCACCGAACATTGCCTGTTAAGGTACCTGTAAAAGAGAGAAAGTGAAGCAACATTGCGGCGAAGAGAAAGGGAAGAGAGATTGTCGACTAAAAGAGGAGAGTTAATAAAACGAAATGCCCTTGATTCCACCCTATCTAATAGTGGGACAGAATAAGAGCCACCCCAGATAGGAAAGCAGTACTCCAAGTTAGGACGAATGAATCCCTTATATACTTAACCAACTGCTCAGGAGTGAAGTAGCTATGGCATCTGTACAGCATTCCCAACTTTCGGGAGTCAGCTTTAGCTATGTTAAGGATGTGTGACTTCCATGACAGATTGGAGGAAATGGTGAGGCCTATCACATCTATTTCAGAATTTGGCAGAATGATAGCCTCCTGAAATGTAATTGGTGGGAGAACATCAAATTTAGAAAGTGTAATTGGTAAATACTGACTTTTATTACTATTGAATTTAACCAAGTTTCTACCTCCCCATTCAGAGATGCTGCACAGATCCGCATTGATAGAAATAATGATATCAGTTCTAGAAACAGCTCTAGTTTGAGAGTTAGGAGGGAGGGGAAAATGTGAAGAAGAGTGAAGAGTAGAATCATCAGCGTAAGAATGGATATAATTAGTTGTAGTATGAAGTAAATCATTGATAAAAAGAAGGAAGAGAGCAGGAGAAAGAACAGAAGCCTGTAGGACACCACTACTGGTAGAGAAAGAGCGAGAGCCATGGATCGGTTCTCAAGGCAGATAGAGATGAGAAAACAAAGTGGGGGAGAGAAACCAAAAGAGGGAAGTTTAGATAGCAAAGACTAGTGCCATACCCTGTCAAATACTTTGGAGATGTCGAGGGCCCCGTCGAAAGTGTCCTCATAATCCCTAAGAGAGGATGACCAAAGATGGGTGCAGTAGGAGAGCAGATCACCAGTAGATCTCGCCTGGCGAAATCCATACTGGTGATCCAACAAAAGAGAAAGTCGTTCAAGGTGACGGAGAAATGGGAGTTAAAGATAGCTTCGTAAATCTTAGAGAGGGATGAAGTTCGGGAAATGTGGCGATAGATAGAGGGATTAGAATGGTCACCCTTCTTCGGGAAGGGCTGAACCAAGGCTTGCTTCCAAGAATGTGAGGCCCAACTACTCATGGTGCGCCCCCACTCCACTCATCCGATGGCTTAGTATGATTAGTTCCCTTCCAACTGTCATTCAAAATATGAAAACAAATCATTGCAGGTGTCAGGGTTACATTCATCACCACTCAGAAGGGACCAAATACATGAAGTGTATTTAACATAAGTGTTCGTACGAATAATAAGGTAGAGGCTGCGGGATGGTACAGAAGAATAAATACTAGTGGCCATGTTAATGATCTCTATTGTAAACTTATATAATTATTACACACTGTGAGGCTTCACTGTTACCCCTAAAATTCCCATTAGTGAAAGTTCTTGTCTGTATGCAGCCACATAGCAGGACCATGTTTTGAATAACACAAGTGATCGTGGGCGAGTCCGGTGGTACAGTTTACCGAGGCGTGAAAGTTTGAACGCTCCTGCTTGGCTAGAACACAACCGCCGTCCGGCTGACAGCGTACAGCGACATCGTTTTCCAGATGGTCGTGGTTGTTATAATCATGGTCGTGGTTGTTATAATCATGGTCGTGGTTATTATAATCATAGTCGTGGTTGTTATACTCATGGTTGTGGTTGTTATAATCATGGTCGTGGTTGTTATAATCATGGTCGTGGTTGTTATAATCATAGTCGTGGCTGTTATGATCAAAGTCGTGGTTGATATAATCATGGTCGTGGTTGTTATAATCATGGACGTGGTTATTATAAGCATTGTCGTGGTTGTTATAATCATGGTCGTGGTTGTTATAATCATGGTTGTGGTTGTTATAATCATGGTCGTGGTTGTTTTAATCATGGTCGTGGTTGTTATAATCATGGTCGTGGTTGTTATAATCATGGACGTGGTTATTATAATCATGGTCCTGGTTGTTATAATCATGGTCGTGATTGTTACAATAAGGGTCGTACCTGAGACTAACACAGGTAGAATAAACCCCACACCTAATCTTTAATCTCAATAAACCCAGATTAACCTCACCTAATCAACAGGATTAGAGACCATTAGGATTGTACCACCAATACCGATACATTTCACACTGGATTAATAACAAAACATTTAATCACATTTCCAATAGCTAATGTCTTACGGATATCTTATCAAGTTGTGAGTCTTACATGTCTATATAATTATGTTTTATTCTTACAAATATTTATAGTTCGTTGTGTATTGTATTGTATGGTATGGAATTGTATGGTATTGTATGGTAGTGTACTGTATTGTACTGTCACAGGAATAAGTATACTGTACACACTGTAGCAGTAAGGTTCGATAAATGGGCTGGTAACGTTTAAACTGCGCATCCAGACGCATGATGAAACTCAGCTCCCCCCCACCTGTATCTCTAACTATTTTCTGTTTCCCCTTCTTTATTCTTCTATTTACTCATCTTCCTTCCTTTCAAACAACATTAAAAAAAATTAGGCTAAGAAAAAAATTGGAGGAAGGAGGAGGGAGCCGTACGATAACTGCAATCTTGGGATGACAGAGTACAGCTAATGAGGGTGCGCCAAGTCCATAGACTTGCGTCGTTTTCCAGCTTAAATAAAATGGTTAATTAAAGGCTTCCTAAAGAAACCATCGGTATGGGACCAGGTTTGTTCCACTCTACGAATTTTTAGCGTTTTTTCCACCAAGTTTGATGAAAAACGATTGTGCCTTTTCGGCTGCCCAGAACAGACACGCACACAAATAGACAGACAAACAGACACACTCCTAGTCCTATAGTATATACATATGGATCATCATGTTTCGAAGCAGGATTTCGTAAAACGTTACTCTGATCACCTAAGTGATACTGGTAGTCCCCATTAGAGGTTCACGGCGCCATAAGCTCGTTGAACAGGCTTTGTGTGAAATATAACAGAGTCTAGGACTGCTTTTAGTATCCTGGTGGTCTAGAGGTAGCGTTCACCTGTCACAGTCGTAGGCCGTGGGTTCGAATCCTGGCCGGGTGAGGTGTTGATTATATATATATATATATATATATATATATATATATATATAGATCAGAAAACGTGGATAAGATAAATCTTATCACGTATATCATATAATATATTATATATATATATATATATATATATATATATATATAGAATATATATATATATATATATATATATATATATATATATATATATATATATATATATATATATATATATATATATATATATATATATATATATATACAAGTAATCCTCTGGGTATATGCTGATGACCACAAGGAAAAATGAAAACACGAAGTTCCCAAGCGCTTTCGTGTAATTCACATTTTCAGGGGTGAGTACAGACTAAGGAGAAATACATAACAAGGCATGTGTATATTGTAGAAGAGGGTGAGAGCAAGTCCCTAGGGGAAAGTGAGTGTCCTCAATGGTCCGGTCACTAGGCAGTGACCGTACTAATCTTCATAAGCACAGCAGCAGTCGGTAGTCAGGTCAGAGGGTAAGATGACCCAACCTTCTCACCTGGTTACAAATCTTTTTAATTACGAAATTATCCAGTTTGTACATACCATTACTCAAATTCTTGTTGACGGATTCGGTATGTTTAATGAGACTAGACTCTATAATGTTCCTACTGTCAATTGAATTACAAGGTAATATTGAGGAAGCATTATCCCAGTCAATGCAATGCTTATTATCCCAACTGCTGCAGTGCTTATGAAGATTAGTAGGGTCACTGCCTAGTGACCGGACCACTGTGGACACTCACTGTCCCCTAGGGACTTGATCTCACCCTCCTTTCTTCTCCTTAATTACACAACTTCCTGTGGTTATCTATATATATATATATCAGATACTTAGCCCTGACAACATAATTATATTGCCTTGGGAAATACCCGGACATGAGTCATGGGATGCCAGGTGAAATGATTCTCCAATATTTAAGTCCATCACGTTTCTCCCTTTCGCTGGTAATTCTTTATATTTAATTAAATATTACTGTAGATGATCAAACATAGAAATTAATTTTATGTATTCAAGGACCATGGTGTTCTACAATTAATAAAAGGAAATAAGTAAATTTCTCCAGCTGATATCGGTAATTCCTGGACGTCAGGTATATAAAGTGAACACCAAGGAATTGTATCATCACACCTTACTCCTGTCTCTTGCTGATATCGTAACTGAGGTAAGCTTACATTCGTTTTAAATAATACTGAAGTATACACATAATGACGACTATTAAGTGCGTGGTGTAAGTTTGGTGTTTTCTCTCAAGTTTTATATATACAGTATATATTTCATGTAGATCCACAATGAAAACGTGGATAAGATAAATCTTGATAAAATCACACGGGAAAAGGGAAACACCGGAGCACCTTAGCTTTCGTCTTCATTCAAGACATCTTCAGAGGCAACTGGATTACATGGACAGAGAGAGGCTTAAATATACAGGGTGACCTTATTAAACATGAGGTCAGGCCATAATGATGTCATCCACTAGTCCCCACACCAACACCAACACACACTTAGAGAAGCTTAAGAGAAAGGGGGCGACGAAACTAGTCAGGTCAGGTCAGGTCAAAAATAAGGGACCCACTAAATAACTATCAATAAGGATAATTGATTTTAATTCCTTAATCAAACTAGCTTCAATCAGAAGTCTTTCTGTGACACAAGATGGTTTGAACACTTCTAAGCTTTTTCCCCAAGCAATGTGATGATTATTATTCCTAACATGAACGAACAAGGCACTGCTAAGGTGCTCCGTTGTTTCCTTTTTTCCCCGTGTGATTTTATCAATATATATATATATATATATATATATATATATATATATATATATATATATATATATATATATATATATATATATATATATATATATATATATATATATATATATATATATATATATATTAGATGGAAATAAAATACTGCAATTCAAATCTCAAATTGTACTGACGCACCTTCCTTGTGCAACACCTTTATGAAGTCGGGTATTCTGAATCATAGTTAAGATGATGTATATACAGTACATGTGCGGGAGTGGGGCGGGGGGTATGAAGCAATGTCCACTAGTGGTAAATAAAATAATATGTCATGCCAAATATGAAACATCGAGAAAAGCGAGAGACAGAGAAATTGAAATATATACCAACATACTACAATATGCAATTTCTATCCTTATAATTTCCTCGCCAGCTCTACTATCTTCCTCACTAGAATCCCAAACTGGGGTTCTCTCGACCTTAATACAACAAGAAAAGTCCACCACTAGACGTTCTTTATGTACAGTTCATTCATAAGGTTCATTATACAGGTCAGACCCAATGTACATTGTGTTCTGTGAGTAAAAGTTTCCTCTCAACAGGCTGGTGAACCATGAATACCAAGAGCATTGTATTCCTGCTGGTGCTGGTGATCGTGGCCGTCACCGTTGTCAATGGTGAGTCACCTTAATTATATTTTATCTCAGTCCAGTGTTTGCTGAGTTGCCCAGGTTCTTGGCGAGCCACTCCTGCGCTTGATGCGTCATTCATTGTTGATGAGTCATTCTAGACGTCTAGAATATGGTGACACATCCTGATGCTTGAAGATAGGCAAAAAATATGATGAGATCGCCTTGGGACTACGTCAGTGATCTCAGCTTGATATATTAATGATATATAAATGATAAAAGGAAGAAACGGTTCTTAGTGTCAGTTTAAGTAACCTTTCTTACCGAGGAAATTTACGAAATTTTAATCAATCACCTTTTAAATTTAAAAGTAATCTATTTCACACATTGAAAATAATGCATTGAACACCTCTTCCGATGCTTCGATATTGCATTAAGAATGACATAGTGTTGTTACGAGTTTCTTTTTTAATAATGGTTCAGAAAATGCAAATCTTTGAATACCCTTACACACACACACACACACATATATATATATATATATATATATATATATATATATATATATATATATATATATATATATATATATATATATATATATATATATATATATATATGTATATATTTAATATACATATGAAGTCCTTTTCATTTATTTTTCATGTTCTTTTTCATATTTCTCAATCTGTTTTTACTTAAATCCTGTATGTTGAGTTTTAACAAATAACAACAAATAAAAAAATTAATATTCAATTAAATTCTCATCTTTAAGTAAAGATAATGTGAACAACTCATAATAATACTGCGGGTGACCTCATATAACCTTAATACCGTGTATGAGTGTTACATGAACACCTGAGTGCCGTGTACAAGTGTTACATGAACAACTTAACACTGTGTACCAGTGTTCATGATCACCTTCGCACGAAATAGCAACAAGGAGATCTTTGTGTGGCCTCTTTTTTCCCTCGCCTATATTCTTCCATGACAAAGGTGAAATATCTGGGTTAGTGGATTTCCCAATCTGCTTCTAACGCCCTCCTTTCGTCTCCAACAGGAAGCATCAAGTATCCCTGCCCACAAGTCAACGGGTTTTGTGTAAATTTTTGTAGTTACGGACAAGAAATATCTACCGGCATCTGCTACGGCAATAATATATGTTGCAGGGTAAAACAGCATTACCACTAGTCCACAACAGTGGCCAGACCTGACGGACGCCACCATGACCTATAAGAAGACACCCTCAACTGTGTTTGGTGATCATCGACGAAACTTTTGTTTTCACATGCGATTAGAGAACTTGCTTTACCTATGATTTTTTTTAAGCATTTGGATTCTGCAACAACCTTTATTTTCTTGTTCTTGCACATTTTAAGAAATGATGAAGAATATTAGTAAAATTTAATTTAACTTGAGACTTGCGTCATTAGCATGCGCATCTGCTTATTTTTGACGTGTATTGCCTTGTTAATTCCCTCATCTATAAATGATAACATTCATCTTTGTTTTGAGAGCTTGATAATAAAATTGTTATATTATAATTAAAATAATTGCCTCTTATACCAACACTTATTCCCTCATTGGACCCGTAAGAGACCCGTTTTGTAAAGTTAGTACTGTATGTTTACTGTCACCTGAACACATTGTAAGGAGTCGGAGAAACGGTTTTACTCCACTGCTGTAACAACATAAGTAACTTTTGGAGCAGGAAAAAGGAAAGTGACCGAATGAGAACAAAAGAGAAGGGAGAGAAGGTAGCATGTACTGTACCCAAAACTTATATAAGCATCTACCCAACTTTTCCTTGTAAACCATTATCTGCCTAAATGGTTTCACACATACCTTTAACTGAAATAGTGTGAAAAGTTCTCCAGGCATTTTTTCAGTGAAAAATTATTAATTTATGTATAGAATTGATGTAAGAAATGTGTTATAAATACTACTAATAAGATTAAGTAATAAAATACGTATAAAACTCATAATAAATAAGCTATTTAAAGAAAAATTCGCTTCAACAAAATTCTTCTAAGAAGATACAAAAGTCAAACGTGTGTTAAACAGGAGAATAACAACAAAGAAATTGTTAATGATAAGAACGACTCAACAAAAGTTCTTCATTGGATTACAAAGTGAATTACTGAGTAAAAAATTAGAAAGAACAAAAAATAAGCTTATTTAATAAATTTGTTCAAAGATCACAGTTCTCACAGGAGCAAGAAAATAACGCACTCACAGTGAATGCATTTGACCAACTATTTTCATCACCCATACTGCTACCTCTTGATCTGCCCATTGACAAAGCAGTCTATAGAGGTGTGAACTGCCGGAGACATTCAAAAACAATTTCCATCCAGGTGTAACAGCATCTTTGTTTTATATAAATACACCCCAATGAATAACATCATGTTATTCATCAAATTATTCACCAAGTGATTTACCATGTTGTTTATGACTAGATCACTGAAGTTGCATCTATCACAGGGGTCGAGCTGATTCAGTAAACACCGCTCGCTTCCTACCACTCTCTCACGCCCAATGGAGAGCAGTTCACTCCATACCGCTATACAGGGAAGTTTACACTTAGCAGAAGTATTATCTCAAAGTAATTTTCATAACACTTCCCTGGAAAGAATTCACAATATATTATCTCAGATTATATCTGTGGATATACAGTACTTTCTTTCAGCTTAAAAATAGAAAATGCCAAGAAGTGTTTACATCAAGCCCTGCCACTTCAGAGTTCCAGAACTCAATTAAAACAATTAATGTGATACCAAACAGCTCCCACAGTTGGTGACAAACAGTGAGACGAATTCTATACACTAGTACAGCACTCAAAAAAAAATATTGATGACACAAGTGACATTCTAAGTGAATCATCATCAAACAAAGTATTTTAGTGGGAAATAGGTGGACGTGGTTATAAACACCTGCAAAACGTCTACACAGAAATCCAGTGGTAACAAAGATAATATAAAGACTTGCTGACATAGCCGTCAAACCGCCAGCATCAGCTCACAGATCATGGTGACCCAAATGGAGCCGACACCAGACGAGCCTACCCGAGTGTTGTCTTAGTGTCCCAGCTAGCTAATAGCCAGCCAATCAGACAGCCAGCCAACCAGCAGCCAGCACTACAACACACGAGTACTAGGAAAGTTGTCATCGTGGTTCCAACAAGCAGACAAGCTGGCAGCCTCTTGATTAAACAATCAAGCCTCTCCAGTGTGCAAGAAAGGTCAGCCCCAGGTTGATCGCCGCAAGAAAGGTCAGCCCCCAGGTTGATTGCCATAAGAAAGGTCAGCCCCCAGGTTGATTGCCGCAAGAAAGGTCAGCCCCAGGTTAATATCTGCTAGAAGGAACAGCCCCAGATTGATCGACATAAGAAAGTTCAGTCCCCAAGTTAATCATGGCAAGAAAGGACAGCCCCAGGTTGATCGCCATAAGAAGGGTCAGCCCCCCCAGGTTGATCGCCACAAGAAGTGTGATGCCATGCTTCCCAGAGTGGGACGTCTTCAACTTCTGGCGTCAAAACTCTACAGATTCTTTGGTCAGTTAGATCATAAACAATCATTATCTTACAGACTCCACAAACACAAGTGAACTTCCAGAAGTCTTCAAACGCAGTCAATATAAAATAAATTATATGCACAACGGTCTACAAGCAAAATTAAATAACACATTTATAAAGTAAGAGAGGACCCAAACAAAGTATATATACTTTTAATAATTTTAGCTCTCTTTCTCTTCATTTCCATAACTCATTATAAATACTTTTCCACTACTCCTTGAGTGGGCTACATAGTGAGCGTTATACTGAAAGTGAAGTGATATATATCCCTATTTATGGACCCTCTTCCAAAATTTTAGGGTTTTAAATAGGAAATTAGTGACTCAGACTCAGGTAATCAGTCATCTATAGACTCACAGGAGCTAGCCATCGCCTAGGGAAGAAGGTTTGGGACAAGCTCCTGGACGACCCTCACAGCCCAGACCACCTACGCGGGGAAGATATCAACGGAGGGAGACCCCACGCCTGGTGGCCCCGGAGTCTGCCCGCACTACAACAACACAACCCGCGATCCATCTATGTCCGCCGCAGTGATCCACCTTAGATTAAAACTTAGATGATATAAATTCACATTTAACAAGTCACAATCAAGTGAGTCCATAACGTAATACAGTATAAGATGTTAATAAACTTGTAATTGTAAAATCAATCTAGTCATTATCTACTAAAATAACCATTGTGCAACCTCATTCTAAATCCTAGGTTAGCTTAGTTAGCCAACAAACTCTGTAATATGTAAAACAAGGAGTGTCGTCCCCCTCTATTTAACTCATTAAACTTCTTTTCCAACCTTTCCCCCCACGACTATATGCTGTGACTTCTCCATCCCTCATGTCTGGCTGTGCCTTGAGCCCCAAGCGCTTTCGTGTAATTCACATTTTCAGGGGTGAGTGCAGACAAAGGAGAAATACATAACAAGGCATATATATACTGTAGAGGAGGGTGAGAGCAAGTCCCTAGGGGAAAGTGAGTGTCCACAATGGTCCGGTCACTAGGCATTGACCCTACTAATCTTCATAAGCACAGCAGCAGTCGGTAGTCAGGTCAGAGGGTAAGATGACCCAACTTTCTCACCTGGTTACAAATCTTTTTAATTGCGAAATTATCCAGTTTGTACATTCCATTACTCAAATTCATGTTGACGGATTCGGTATGTTTAATGAGACTAGACTCTATAATGTTCCTACTGTCAATTGAATTACAAGGAAATATTAAGGAAGCATTATCCCAGTCAATGCAATGCTTATTATCCCAACTGCTGCGGTGCTTATGAAGATTAGTAGGGTCACTGCCTAGTGACCGGACCAGTGTGGACACTCACTGTCCCCTAGGGACTTGATCTCACCCTCCTTTACTGTATGTATATGCCTTGTTATGTATTTCTCCTTAGTCTGTACTCACCCCTGAAGATGTGAATTACACGAAAGCGCTTGGGAACTTCGTGTTTTCGTTTTTCCTTGTGGTTATCACCATATATATATATATATAGGGTAACAGCCCTGACAACATAATTATCTTGCCTTGGGAAATACCCGGACGCGAGTCATGGAATGCCAGGTGAAATGATTCTCCAATATTTAATTCCATCACGTTTCTCCCTTTCGCTGGTAATTCTTTATATTTAATTAAATATTACAATAGATGATCAAATATAGAAATTCATTTTATGTATTCAAGGACCAGGGTGTTCTACAATTAATAAAAGGAAATAAGTAAATTTCTCCAGCTGATATTGGTTATTCCTGGACGTCAGGTATATAAAGTGAACACCAAGGAATTGTATCATCACACCTTACTCCTGTCTCTTGCTGATATCGTAACTGAGGTAAGCTTACATTCGTTGTAAATAATACTGAAGTATATACAGTATGACGACTATTAAGTGCGTGGTGTAAGTTTGGTGTTTTCTCTCACCCTCCTCTGTATATATACACCTTGATTTGTATTACTCTCTCTAGTCTGTACTCACCCCTGAAGATGTGAATTACACGAAAGCGCTTGGGAACTTCGTGTTTTCTTTCTTTCCTTGTGGTATATATATATATATATATATATATATATATATATATATATATATATATATATATATATATATATATATCTTGATAAAATCTACACGGTGCTCAACGGAGCACCTTTTCTTTGTGTGATTTTATCAAGATTTATCTTATCCACGTTTTCATTGTGGATCTACATGATATATATATATATATATATATATATAATATATATATATAATATATATATATAATCATGTATTAGATGGAAATAAAATAATGTAATTCAAATCTCAAATTGTACTGACGCACCTTCCTTGTGCAACACCTTCAAGAAATCGGGAATTCTGAATCGTAGTTAAGATGATGTATATACAGTACATGTGTTGGAGGGGGGCGGGGGGGTATGAAGCAATGTCCACAAGTGGTAAATAAAATAATATGTCATGCCAAATATGAAACATCGAGAAAAGCGAGAGACAGTGAAATTGAAATATATACCAACATACTACGTTATGCAATTTCTATCCTTATACTTTCCTCGACAGCTCTACTATCTTCCTCACTAGAATCCCAAACTGGGGTTCTCTCGACCTTAGTAACAAGAAAAGTCCACCACTAGACGTTCTTTATGTACAGTTCATTCATAAAGTTCATTATATAGGTCAAACCCAATGTACATCGTGTTCTGTGAGTAAAAGTTTCCTCTCAACAGGCTGGTGAACCATGAATACCAAGAGCATTGTATTCCTGCTGGTGCTGGTGATCGTGGCCGTCACCGTTGTCAATGGTGAGTCACCTTAATTATATTTTCTCTCAGTCCAGCGTTTGCTGAGTTACCCAGGTTCTTGGCGAGCCACTCCTGCGCTTGATGCGTCATTTCAGTGTTGATGAGTCACTCAAGACGTCTAGAATATGGTGACACATCCTGATGCTTGAAAATAGGCAAAAAATATGATGAGATCGCCTTGGGACTACGTCGGTGATCTCCA